TTGGGAAGTTTTCTGCTATTACTTCTGCCCATATTCTTTTTATATCATTTGTATTGACTCCTTCCTTCTCATTGATGCCTATTAGTCTCACATTGTTCATTTTTGCATCGTCTTGCAGGTATTGAATTATTTTTTCCTGCATCCTAGTTGTTTTAAAGAGATATTTTCTTACTTTTTCAGTAGCTGCAATGGTATCTTTCAGGTCAGAAAGTCTATTTTCACTTTCACACAAACGATTTTGCCAGCTTGTGATTGAGGTTTTAATTTCCTGTATGTCACTTTGAACCTTTTTCATAGATTCTATTTCTTTCCTAAATTGTTTATTCAGGGGTTCCATCATTTTTATATTCTCTTCTTTTTTTTTTCAGTGTATTCTTTAGAAGCACTTAGTACTTCTTTGATTATAGTTACCACTACATTTTTTAGTTCAGAAATGATTTCTGATCTGATTTCTTGTATACCTTTCTGCAGTTGATTCTTTACTGTCAACGCTATCATTTCCGAGATATCTGGTGTGTCATTTCCAGTTTCCTCAGTACTAGTGTCTTCTACATTTGTACTGGGTGGACTTGGGGCCTGAGACTGCATTTTATTCCTTCTCTTTGTCATTTTGTATACCACTTTCTTCTGACCTTTGGTGTAGAGCTTGGATAGAGTTATTACCTTAGCACCAGGTCCGGATCTATGAAGTTCAGATTCCTCCAGGTGGGTGTTGTTTGGTTCTGGCTGCTGTGCTCCACTTCTTTCTGCTGCAGGCATTAGAGGTGAACCCTTTGTGTCACTCTGGCAAGATGTTCTGATTCTGAATCAGCTGGGTGGGTCTTGCCTCTATCCTCTTTGCAGGGAGTTCTGCTGAAGGGTTCCCTGCTAGGCCTGCAGCCTGGGTTGAATGAGGATCTGTGGGTCCCGGGTCGTCTCACTCACTTGCAGGGCCTGCGCTCTGGGTCTAATCAGGATCTGGAGGGCCCCAGGTCGCCTCACTCACTTGCCGGGCCTGTGCCCTGGCTCTCTAACCTGTTTTGAAACTATCACATTGCTATATCTTTCTCAATAAAATTAATTAAAAAATATTATTCTACAAGATCTTTAGAATTCCATATCTCTTATGTGGCAGCCAGCAAGCATGTTGGATTTCACTCTGCAAGTGGGCATTTATAAGCCCTTTGTGAAAAAAATATAATTGATTCCATTGTGTGTTGATAGACATGGTCCTCAGGAACACTACTGTGTATTTATTTTATGGATAAGTTTTTGTCATCTCCTGGAATTTCCTATTTAAAAGCAGATAGCTTAACATTGCATTATTTATTATTTTTGTGATAATATTCAGTGCCTTCTTAATAGTCAGCTGAAATTCTAAAACATATTGGTTATCTTTTTTAAAGAAGAATATCTGGAATTGCATCCTTTGACATGTTTCATTATTTATAACACATGCCTAGGAACCTCTGTCCAACCTGAGGGAAGACTAGGAGGGCACAGGTGCTGGGCAGAGTGGATTTTCTGGGGTGGGGGGAGGTGAGGTAGAGGGAGTAGGTTTCACAGAGCCACATGTGGCTGTCTTCCCCAAAAGCCTGTGGGCTTTGCATAGACTGTGGCAAAAGCTGCTGTAGTACTGGCCCATGTTTCAGTGACCTATCTCTTTGGTTGTAGGTTCTATGGAGACAGCAACACATGGGATATACACCGACAGTTTCTATGGGGGCCAGGCCTCCTCATCACTCCAGTTCTGGAAGAGGCAAGTGTTCTCACAGAGACTGATGGTCTGGTTTTGTTGCTATGCTGTCGTCACCCCACACCCTGCTCTTTTTTCTTTTTCCTAACCCATTTCCAACATCTGTGGCTCAGGCACCCCAGAAGATAATGTGGAAGGGTTTTGGAAACTAGCATATCTGATGTACGCTGTCCTCTCTAGAAGGCTTTTTTCTTGGCCACAGTTTTGAGCCAGTGTAAAAGCATCTGTTGGCAGCAGTAGACTGAGGATTGGTTTGATGTGTTATGAGATCATCACAGCAGACAATTGCTTGCTCTGTGATCTGCCAGTGACCAGCACTGACTCTATAGTCAAATGGACTGCGGGGATTGTTGTCTCTACCACTTACTGACCTGTGTGGTCTGGGGCAAGTTATTATGCTGATTTCTTGTCTGTAACAGTAGAATAAGAACAGTATCTCCAATTTGTGGCTGTAAGGATGATTAAATGAACTAATACATGAAAACTGGAATGCTTCCCACACTGCATATTTCATTACCACTGTTCCTAACATTGTTGCATTTGGGATTTTTCCTGGAATTCCAACTTATGACTTCTATTATCTATACAGGAAGAAAGGTAAAAGAAAGTGATGATTCAGTAATTTTATCTAAAAATAGTTAGGAATTTCCCCATAAGGGATATTAGAATATCCAGTTCTTCCCCTCAGAGACTGAGTCATGAAAGACAGTATTTTGTTTTAATTTTAGGGTGCAGAAAAAGTGCTAGCATATGTTCCTGATGCAATCTGGTACGACTATGAGACTGTAAGTAGCTTGGACTTTTCTTCAGCTCTTTCAGACCATAGCTGTAGTTCCAAGACAGTTGTTTCCTAGAGAGAAAAACAGCTATGCATCCCCAGCAGAACTGGCTCAAATGAGCCTGTTATCAGTCACCACGATGTTACATTTATATTTTATTCAACAATTAGTAAAGACAAATGATATAAGAAATGTTCAAGGGGCTCATGGGCAATTTGACATCAGTTAAAGTTTAGATATTTATTCAGAAATGTCAGCTCATATAATTTATTTTTGTGCTTTTCTATAACTGGGACAAAATGCTAGACACCCACAAGTTAAAGGAACAGAGACTTATTTTGGCCCACAGCTTCAGTCCATGATTGGCTGGCTGCAAGACAGAGACTGCAAGGTAGAGGGCCTGGGGCAGGGGAGCCCGGAAGAAGACAGGGAGCAGGGAGAAACCAGGGACAGGAATCCTGCCAGGCTACCCCCGGTGATCTGCCTCTGTCTGGACCCGTGCTCCTAATAGCACGTTCAGCATTTAGATGACAAGCTCACCAATGGCTGAATCCACTCATGAGACAGGAGCTCGTGATCCGGTCACCTTCCAAACACACAAGACTTCTACAGAACCTCAGCATGGCATAGACCTTCTCACAAACTCTCAGCTTGCCACACACATGTTCCTAATTTTTTTCTTTTCTTGTTTGACTGCTTGTGTAGACCGTAATGCAGCTAAGTGGGAAAGGGGAGGCCAGTAGATCACTCAGCACCAGAGGGACCGGTGTAGGTCCCTGTGCTGTCGGGCCAGTTTGTTTGATTTATCTGCCTGCATTAGGGGGGCCAGTTGGGAAGGAGGAAGCAAAACATCGAGATGGAACTTCCTGAAGACAAGATCGGACTTCATCTACGAGGAGGCTACATCTTCCCCACACAGCAGCCAAGCACAACCACTAAGGCCAGGTACAGCATGGCTAGGAATGTTTTTTAAGGGTGAGGGTGAAAAAACTGTCATTTATGTCCCTCTTTGTTGACCAGGGGATGCTGAAACACTATGTGGGCCATGGTAAGCCTGCTCTGTGTGTGTGTGTGTGTGTGTGTGTGTGTGTGTGTGTGTGTGTGTGTGAGTATTGACAGGTGGTCATCAAACTCTCTTTGGTTTTTCCCCAGCCTTTTCTCAGGAAGCTGTTGGTCTAATGCTGCCCCTAGGTAGATTTTTGAGAGGCCTTAATCCCTGGATTTCCATAAACACTCCAAATGTCTAGACATCCAGGATGGTCAGCGTTCTAGTTTTCCTGGGCTTGTTGCCACTTTAGTGTTAAATTGCTCATATCTTGGGAAAACCTCAATTCTGGCCACAGGAGCTAGTTGGTCTCTTTCCATGCCTTGGCCAGTCTGCACACCCATGGTTCTTCATTCTTGCCCAGTTTTTGTAGCAATAACAGTGATTTTGGTGCTCACATTGTCATCTCTGACATGGATATTTATTGCAATGTTTGCGATACTTATGTTTTTGGTGACATGACTGATAGCAGAGAAATAAGTGCCTGCTAATACTTGCTTTGTGTCTGAAAGGAAGCTCAGCCACTTGCTGCTACTTGCTTTCCCATTTGAAATTTGATGGATGCAGGGGGCAACATTTTTGGAGTCCTTTCTGTCACTAAGTTGAATCTGGTTTTCCACAGTCGGCAGAATCCTCTGGGTCTCATCATTGCCTTAGATGAGAACAAAGAAGCAAAAGGGGAGCTGTTTTGGGATGATGGGGAATCAAAAGGTGAGTATTGTTGAGTGGGGCGCTGTTCCCAACCTGCATCTCTGACTTATGGCCCTTCACTTCTGCTGTCCTTTGGCAATGTGAGAAGTCTCCCCACACACAGTAGCAGAAGTCAGCTTTGTCCTGTTTGCTGCACTCAGGAGCAGTGAAAGATGAACCACGTTGGAAGAAAAACTCATTTCAACTTATCAGATGTCTCCCTTTCACCAGCAATCTATAACAGGCTCTTACTTCACTGCCAGTGGTACCTGGAACACTATTTTGCAACTCTCTGTAATTCATTCAACTGTTATGGCAGTATCTTCACCCAAAAGAAGGCAAGGAGAAGGTCCTCTTGTGTGTACACATCCAGCCAGTCTTTCAGCAGTTCTGAAGATCAGGCATCCTAACAACTTTTATGGTTGCAGCTTAGGAAATGGATTTCTATGACGCATGTGCCTAAAAAATCCCTTGGAAGAAAATGTTTTCCAGGTTACAATAGAAAGAGGGAAACACAGGAGTCTGGCCAAGGACACTCTGTTAGTAACCTTGTCATTCTCAAGCTATAGCTTTAAAAAGCTTCTCATTTATTAAAACATGTACTCATGAAATAAAGATTGAGGGGCCGGGGAGATGGCTTAGTAAACGCTTCCCTGGCAAGCGCAAAAGCCTGAGTTCAATCCCCGGTTCCACAAAAAAAAAAAAAAAAAAAAAAGATTGAATGTATTTTTCTAGACAACATATATCTCTTGCTTAATAAGATATATATCTTGAGCCAGGGAGATGGCTCAGTGGAATAAGCACTTCCCTGGCAAGCGCAAGGGCCTGAGTTCAATCCCTGGTTTCTCCAAAAAAAAGATATATATCTTGTTTAATGACATATAGTATAACAATGACCACAATCTAATTAACTAACACACTAATCTCTACCAGTGTTGTACATGAACATCTTTGAACGTCTTCATCGTATAACTAAAAATTTATAACCTTTAACCAATATCTTACCATTTTTTGTTTTCTTCTGTCCCTAACTGATCTAACTGGTATAACTCCTGCTTCTATGAAATTATATTTTCTCAATGGAGATCATATGGTGTTTTTTCCTATGTGTAGTCTATTTTACTTAGTATAATGTGGTCCAGATTCATTCATATTGTCACAAATGTTAGAATTCATTTTCTTTTAAATCACTGTACCATATTCTATTTTATACATGCACACACACATATCCACTTTTCTGCAATTGAATGTTTAGTTTGCTTCCATATCTTGGCAACTCAGGGTTGAAATAAAGAAATTCTAAGAGGAGAAAACTAGGAAAGAAGTTCTTTCATATTTGGTGTGGCAATGTGTTTTTGCACATGATACCAAAAGCAGAGGCAAGAAAATGCAAGCATAACAAATGGCACTACTAAATTCTAAAAAGTTTCTGTATGACAAAAGAAATAGTCAAAATGAAAAAGGCACATATAGTACTGGAAATAATATATGCAAATTACTTACCTGCTGGAGGCTTAACATAAAACATACAGAAGGAACTCTTAAAACTCAGTAATGAGGAAATGTATAACCTGATTTCAAAATGAGCAAAGAACTGGAATAGATGTTTTCCAGTGCATCCACATACCTGGCCAACAGGTATATAAAAAGTGCTACATGTCACTAAACAGCAGAGAAATGCAAATCACAGTTTACAATGAGCTCTCACCTCACATCTGTTAGGGTGGTAGCAATGAAAGGACAAGCGCGCATGGGCAAGGGTGTTGAGCTGCGATGCATCTTTGTACACTAGTGGTGGAAGTATAAACTCATAAAGCCATTATACAAAATGGCATAATATCTTGAGGGTCCTTGAAATATTAAAAATGGAACTACCATGTTCTTAAATTATCCAGTTTCTGAGTTTATATCTAAAATAATTGATATCAGTATGTCAGAGGGATATGTGTGCTGCATGCTCACTGCAGCACTATTCATGAAAACTGAGATATAGAAACAACTTAAGTGTCCACAAATGGATGAGTGAATAGGGAGATCATGGTAAATATATTCAGTTACATATCATTCAGTCACATTAAGAGGAGGCCCTTTCATTTGTGACATCAAGAGTGTCCTGAGGTGAATTTTTTTATTTCAACCCTGAGTTGCCAAGATATGGAAGCAAACTAAACATTTAATTGCAGAAAGACAAGGCTGGTCTGATTTGTCTTTATTCTGCTTTCAGATACTGTGGTCAATGGAGATTATCTTTTATGTGAGTTTTCCGTCACCGAAGTGAGTAGTATGTTTTATGAATCTTAGCAGTGGTCGGTTGGCCATTAGCAAACATGGGTTGTATGTGTATTTGTATTTGTAACATCATTTGTATTAAGGAAACACTTGCATTTATGACTTAACAACTCCTCAAAATTTCACTAGCTCTTCTTTCAGAAGTGACAATAATATTGATAAAAAGTTTTTCAAATATAATTTTTTAAAATGTCTCTGCACATGTCCCTAATATCTTTCTTAGAATATTTTTTCAAAATTAAAATTATTTGATACAATGTCTCGCTATGCAGCTCAAACTTGTAGTGATCCTCCTGTCTCAGCCTCCCCAGTGTTGGGATTACAGGTGTGTGCCACCATGCCGGAGGGCCAATACAGTGGTGTGCTGGGATTCAGTGGGCTGTCATGGCATGCAGTACTGGGGATCAAACTCGGGTTCTTTCACTTGCCAGGCAGGCACTTAGACCGCTAAGCTATCTCCCCAGCCCTTTCTTAGAGATTTTTAAAGTAAGCTTTCAGTCCTTGAGCCCACTTAGTAGAGAAAGCTGAGGCCTTGACAGTAAGGGGAGGATCTGGTGTCACCTGAAGCATTTGAGTGATCAGTGAACCTGTGCATTTCCGGCAAACTTTTGCATTTAATCCTTTGCAGAATCGCTTGGATGTGAACATTTCTCACTCAGAATACAAGGATCCCAATAATTTAGCATTCCAGGAGATTAAGATTCTCGGGACACAGGAACCTGCCAGTGTTACAGTGAAGCATAATGGTGTTCAGACTCAAGATTCTCCTAAAGTCACCTATGATCCTAATCTGGAGGTAAAAGTCCATTTTGCAGAGGTGTTTATTTTCGTGTCCTTCATTGCATTATGCTGTTGTTTCCTGGCAAGTTTGTGTGAATTTTTAAAGACTGGAGAGCACTTCCGGTGGTGGGGAAGTCAGAGGGCTGGGAGAGAAACTGCGAATGAGGAGCTGGCCAGAGCAGAGTGAAGCAGGCAGGCAGCTGCTGAGGATCGGGCTGGGGTACAGGGATCTAGACGCTTATGGGAGATGCTGACAGGCAAAGGCTGTATGTAGGAGCTCCATGAATTAGAATTTTGAAGACATTATGTTTTCATTATATGAAGTTACAGTATACAAATATAACAACTATTATTGAATTCCTATTATATTGTTTAGTGAAATTTTGTACTGTTTCTAATTTTAATGATTTTTTACTATTTTTTATTCTCTTTAAAAAAAGATAGTGTAGAGATTCTAACAAATGCATTTTCAAGAAATTCTTGAAAGACAAAGAATTTCATGCTCCTACATACTAACCACTTATTTAGTTAGGTGATAATGATAAAATCAATTTTCATCAGTTTTATTTAGACCTGAAACTGAACAGCTTGCAGTAAGTTTTCTTGGTGCGTTAACATTATGAGGAATCCTTTGCCCAAGTAATCTTTACCTGAGGTACCTAGGATTCTTGTATTGATCTGTAGAGTCAGTGTGATTTTACTGCTCCAGACAGATGACAATGTTAACTCTAGAAAGTTCTATTTATAGAGCAGTCAAATAAGAGAATATCGTAGAATATGTGAAATATTTGAGTAAGTGAATGGGGATTCAAAAATGATTTTGCATCTATATTTTAAGAAATGGAAGAGGATGGTATGTTAGAAATAAAAGGAAATATGATTTTTTTCAGCTTATCTATTTGCAGTTGATGAACTAAGACCCAAAAATTGAAACAATTTTGTAAATTTTTATGGTAAAAAGGAAAATTGGAATCCAAGTCATATGAATGTTGGTTCCACCAATCCAGCCCCATGGGGGACTGTGGTTTATGGAATGGAGGGGGAGAATGTAAACTTAATCTGGGAGAACAGAAGAGAGCCATTCTGCCGGGATAAAGAGGAAGAATAGGTATTAGGGAGAGGAGGTGATTGCAATAGGTTTCATTTTACCTAATTCTGCATTATAATGTACAAGAGTCTCCAAAATAGCGTTATTTGCTGTTACCACACAATAGTTTGCTATTGTATCTATATAACTCTCTTCATATAAATTACAGTCATGTGCTACTTGGATTGTTGAGAGTCTCATCTGAGGTCTATTTCTTTTCCTAGAAAACATTTTTCAGACTTGGCAAGTCCTCTGTCCTCTGAACATAAATTTCCTTTTAACTTCTGTATTCCTACAGATTGCCATTATCTCAGAAATTAACCTTGTTCTGGGAGAAGCATACACAGTGGAGTGGAGCATCAAAATAAAGGATGAAGAAAAAATAGACTGTTACCCTGATGAGAATGGCATTTCTGAAGCAAACTGTGCTGCCCGGGGCTGTGTCTGGGAGGTAACTGTGCTGACAGTGTTAGTAAAATCCTCTATTCTTCATCTACAATTTCATGAGCACAGGGTGGAGACCTATGTACCTACTTACAGTCCATAGAAGAAGAAAGGGCTTCCAAAGGAAGCTGAGCTGGATGTGAGAGTAGCTGGAATGTCTTTGGGAAGTGTTTTGCTTGGTGATCAGTAATTTAACCCACTAGCTCTACCAAAGTATATATATTTGAATAAGTGATGGGTGGCTTTACCTCCATGGAAAGTACCTTCTTCAGGTCTTTCAGGGAACACATGCTGACTAGGATGTGACATTTACTTTTCAGGAATCCAGCTCTCCTGGGGTCCCTTTCTGCTATTTTGTCAATGATATGTACTCTGTCAGCAACATTCAGTATGCCTCACATGGAGCCAGCGCTGACATCTCCTTAAAGTCTTCTCTTTACACCAGCGCCTTCCCCTCCACCCCTGTGAGCCCCCTCCGCCTGCAGGTCACCTACCACAAGGATGAGATGCTGCAATTTAAGGTAAACACAGTGTATATTAGGTGCTGACACAGTACCTTTTCTGTATCACTATTTTTTTACTAGTGAAGATTCAGAATCATAAAATAGATGTACCCGTTTAAATTTTATGCTGCATTAAGATAACTGTTGATCCTAATCCACAGAGCAATGAGAAATCACTGACAGAACAATAAGACCTGTTATAATATGTTCTAAGAGACTACTATGGTTATTCTGAAGGAAAATAGTTTGCAGAACTAGAAATAGAGTGGGTTTCTTTTTTTAAATTTTATTTTTTTATTTTAGGGAAGGGTCTACATGGTGTTCAGGGTCTCACTATGAGATCAGACTCATAGTGATCCGCCTGCTTACAGCCTCCCACGAGCTGGAATTACAGACAGCACCACCATGCCTAGTCTCAGTTGCCATCTCAGTGTGCCCTGAGGGCGGGGCCAGCATGGCAGGCCTCGGGATCGAACCCCCGGCCCCTGTGCCTGTTGGAAGGCGCTTTAATGCACTGAGCTATTTGGCTGGCCCAAGAAATAGAGTGGGAAGTTAGATGTTATGAGATATATCAGGTAGATGGGCCAGTGAGGGACTGAACTAGAAGTAGTTATAGGAAAGGAGTTCAGTAGTGGACATGTTGAGACCAAGAAGATGGGATTCCATGATTGAATGGTTTTTTTAGTTGCTTTTCTCTTCTTGCTGAGAGAAAGTACACACCACCAAATGTCAAGGGAGAAGAGTTTTACTTAGCTCTCAGTATGTGAAGGTTCCAGTCCATAATCGGCTGGCTTCAAGGCAGGGTGGCATGGCAAAGATGTTCGGTTCATGGCTGTGGAAGACAGCAAAAGCAACAAGAGAGCATGGCCTAGGTAACTCTCTTTCTGCCCCTTATATCATATCCAGCCTACCAGGGTTAGGGCAGTACCAATCCAGTCGGTGGACTGATCCAGTAATCACCCACCCTTGATCCCAGCATGCTTAATCTCAACACTATACCACCAATCAGTCATACACTCTAGAGTCAGCCACCTCCATAAAAGGCCCATCTAAAACTACATGAGGCGTTGGGAGGACAGCTAGACCCAAACCATCAGAGAGTGACTGGTGGCAGCTGGGAGGTGGTTCTGAAGGAAGCTGGAAGACTAATTTGTGTATTTTTATGTACATCTATATGTGGATGTTGACACTGACTGAATTGAGGAAGAGTACATAGTGAGCAATTGCACAGTGTACTATGAGTGTAGTTCTGGACACTGAGTTGGAGGTTTTTGAAATAGTCACTAAGGTACAATGATTTCCCTTCCTTCCATGGTTTGATTACATGTATGGACTAGGGGTAGACTAGCTACTCTTATGGCTACTACTCCATTAAAGTTCAGGGTTGTTCAGGACAGTGCTTTGTCTACTTGATGCTCCTGACATCTAGCACTGTCATTGGGAGATACTAAGCATTCAAAAATTCCAACGAGAGAATAAACCAAAGATCAAGTCACTGGGTTTATCTGGGAAGTTCACTGCCATGTGACATCAACCAGAACTAAATAAGAGATGTTGTACTTTATGTTCGCATCTTCACCACAGCACTGACATGTGTTAGGAACCTAGTTAGTTTAAGTAATGAATTTGCTTTGGTGTCCGGCCTGAACTCCTGCCTCTCTTACCATGTCATCACACTGTACTCATTTGCATCTTTTGGAGCTCACTTCAATATCTTCCAACTTTGTGGTTGTTAATTATTACTAGAATGACTTTATCTTGACTCTTTCATTGAGTTGTCCAAAATAATCTGAGTACCCTAGAGAACAATATTAAGCATTTTCTTCTCTATTATCTCACAATACTCTTATATAGTTTGTTATTGCCTCACATCATCTAAGTATTGTATATAACTCATTTCCCAAGGACATGATTTTATGAAAATGGTATGTAGGCTTCTTCAGTTCATATCCCAAGTGCAGTATTAAACAGAGATATAATAGATACATAAATAATCAGTTTATATATCATTTTTTAAAAAAGTCTATGATCATTTTAATTTAAATGAATTGTTTTAGGAAGGTTGTTTTTTTTTTTGTAAATTGCAAAAAATTTCCAAATACTTATGTACACTCGTGCATATACAAGGTAATACACAATATTTTCATAAATACCACACCAATTTCTGAATGATTTTTCCAATTAACAGGAGTATAAAGTGCGTGTAGGGCTGGCTAAAGAGCTCAGTGGATTAAAGTGCCTGCAAGCTGGTGGAGGGGCCAAGGGTTTGATCCCCAGGCCTGCTGTGCCTTCCCCGCCCCCGGGGCACACTGAGACAGCAGTTGAGACAGGGTGTGGTGACATGCGCCTGTAATCCCAGCTCTTGGGAGGCTGTAAACAGGTGGATTACTTACAAGTCTGACCTAGTAGTACAACCCTGAACACCCTGTAGATCCTTCCCTAAAAATACAAACAAACAAATAAATAGTGTATTACTTTAATAGAAGTCTTAAAAATGAGATAGGACAAAATCATCTTCAACCTATTAAATTTGACATTGTTTCTTGATATGTTGATTAAATCTTAAAATATCTTCAAAGACACAAAAAAATGTAGCAGACTCATTGTCAGAAATATCAAGATTATACTAAGGCTATAAATTTCAGGCCAACCTCATTGCTTAAAATGTTTTGAAGTGACAGATATGTCTACATCTTTATGGTGTATGGTGGTGTTATAGTACATTCCCACATTACAACTGTAAAATTCAGAATACTTAGATTATCATCTCAATCATCTATCATTTATTTGTGATGAAAACATTCAAACTCTTCTCACTAGTTTGAATTATATGGCATATTATTATTAACTATAGTATAGTCATCCCTCCTGTAGTACAACAGCACAACTGACTCTTCCATCTGTGTCCCTACCCCAAATCAATTTCTTCTCCTTAGATATATGACCCCAACAACAATCGCTATGAGGTTCCAGTCCCACTGAACATACCTGGGGTTCCATCCAGCACTTCTCAGAGTCGACTCTATGATGTCTTCATTAAGGAGAAGCCTTTTGGGATTGTGGTTTGCCGGCAGAACACAGGCACCGTCATGTAAGTGGCTTCACGTCTACTCAGGAATTGCTGGCCCTCCTTTCCTTGCCAGTCCATTGTCTGTTCTGATTTGGAACTGCTGATTACCTATGCTTTCTTTGTCAGCCCATTTTCCTTGGATAGATCCTCGTTCAAAGCACAACACTACTGATTTCCTTCAGGTCAAATCTTTTGCATTCTGAAAAAAGTTGTTAGAGTTGTGTGTTTGGAATTCATCTGATCAAAGTTGTTTGGCTGCCTTTGCTGTATTACAGGACCTTCTCTGCTACTATAGGTCCTGTAACTATAGACAGATGAGGCCTTGCTTATCATGACAATCAAGATAAGTTGAACAACAACAAAGATAATTTACAATGCATGCAAAGCAGTTGATATATTGCTAACTACTGGTATTAGTCAGACTTTTGTTGTTGACACTAAACACTTCACATACACAATTTAAAGCAGGAGGGATTTCATTTGGTTCATGATTTTGGAGGATTTAATTCATGGTAAGGTGGTGCTAAGGCAGAAACACCATAGTGAAAAGGCATGCTGAAATAAAGATGCTTGCAGGAACTGGGTTTTATCCTGTGTACTGGCCCACCCCCAAGGCGTGCTGAGACGGTGATTGAGACTGGGCATGGTGGCTCCTGCCTGTAATCCCAGCTTTTATGAGGCTGAAAACAGGAGGATCACTAGGAGTCTGATCTGTATAGTGAGACCCTGTTGACCCTGTAGTAAATACATAAAAAACTAAAACTAAAAATAAAATGAAGATGCTTAGGTTATGGTGACTGACAGGAGGAGCAGGCCAACAGTGCCAAAAAGACAAAAGGTAAATATATAGGACTAAAGCTTATGCCTCCCTGACTCACCCAGATACATCTAAAAGTATGCTTTATTCACCTGCTAGGTATTTTAACACAATCAAATTGATATATTAGGAATAGTAGTCACACTGCTTTGTTTGAAAAATATAAGTAGTCAAGAATATGATAGACTACTGCTTCTAAGACTGGTTAGAGTAGTTATCTCCAAGGTGGTGATATTTGAAATAGAACATTTGGTTATGGAAAATGAGCCACCCATGTTGAGCTCAGGGGGAAAAGAAAATATATTTTAGATAGAGAGAAAGTAAGTGTGGAGGGCAGGTCTGGTGTGGAAAGTGGCAGATAAATTGGGAAGTGACTGGGTTGGTTCTGTGGAAGGCACAGAGAAAGGAGGCAGTGACTTAGAAAATGAACAGAATGAAGGCCGACTCCTGGGCTTGTTGCAAGGATTTCTGTGATTGTTTTAAACAAGTATGTAGATTTTGTTTTGTTTGGGAGATGAACAGGAACTAGTGGAGGGAAGAAATAAAAAGTTCTGTTATTTTTAGCAAGTTGGGTTCTTGAAGGCAAAAGGAGAGCTGAAGTTCTTCCCAACCCACCTTTTCTCCTCACAGCTGGGACTCACAGCTCCTGGGCTTCACCTTCAATGACATGTTCCTCCGCATCTCCACTCGCCTGCCCTCCTCCTACATCTATGGCTTTGGGGAAACGGAACACACAGCCTTCAGGAGAGACCTGAACTGGCACACATGGGGCATGTTTTCCCGAGACCAGCCCCCGGGGGTAAGCACAGGACCAGTGGGATTGGCCTTCCTTTCTCTTTCCATGTGTTGTATGTGTGCTTCTTTTGTGTGTCCTCAGGCTCATTAAGAGTGGTTACATTGTGCTGTTACACAAGTGGGCACAATGTTGGCTGGCTTTGTTTCCCGTATATTTAACTTATTTCTTAGAAAAGACAAAACCCATCTTAATAAATATTATTTGTTGGCTTTCTTAATCAGTCACAGGTATTCTAACCCCATTTTCCTTTTCCCATTTCTCAGTACAAGATGAATTCCTATGGTGTCCACCCCTACTACATGGGACTGGAGGAGGATGGCAGTGCCCACGGTGTGCTGCTGCTGAACAGCAATGCCATGGGTAGGTGGTGCCAGCATTCTTTCCATTTTTGTGTCAATATTAACTTGTGGGAAGTGTGTCTTGTATTTTATTTAATCCTTTCTGTTTATCCTGTTATTTAATTCTAGTAAAATATGATGACAAGATTTAACCTCTCACTGTGGCCAAAATTAGGGAATAATAAAACTGGGTCTGAGATATCCTGGAAGGCAGCTAGAATGAGCTGACTAAACAACTGCAGTGAATTGTGGCGCTGTTGAAGCTATAGGTCAGAACATTCACTCTGGAACATGAGGATATGAAGATAATTTGGATAGTTTACAAGAAACGACTGGAGAATCAGAGGGAGAGGGAATGAAAAAGATACGTAGAAAGTGGTGAAATGTAAATGTAATCTATGGCTGAGCTAGTAGTATTTATCACTGTCAGTTCATGGAAGCAGTAGCATTTCTGCACCTTCTTGTGAGTCTTATGCTATTCTTAAGTAAAGCTATGATGGTAATTTTAGAGAAGCAGAATCACTAAACAGATAATCTGGCAACATGGAACACCAAAGCAAAAACATCCAGGGAGGGGCCCTATAGACTTTTCTTTTATTTTCTTCATTTCTATGGGTAAAGAATACAATATCTGCACCTAATATGTTAAAATGAAAGAGAACAAGGCACTGGTTTCAGGGATAATTTTCCCCATGAAGTTTTCCACTTTTGTTGCCATTTTTTTTAATCTTCTCAGATGTGACATTCCAGCCTATGCCTGCCCTGACATACCGCACCACGGGGGGAATTCTGGACTTTTATGTATTCTTGGGCCCTACTCCAGAGCTTGTGACTCAGCAGTACACTGAGGTAGGAGGAAATCCATTTGTTTATCAACTATGTATGCAGTCCATTCTATGTTCCAGAACCTACATTCATTCATGTAAATCTCGATTGGTGACTGAGATTGTTAATCTTTGGGCAGGCATATTATAGCATCAGGTGCAAAAATAATTTCAATTAACCATTATATTTACAACCACAATATTTCAGAGTAACAGTATAATCATGGTCCCAGAGGTGGAGGTGGAAGTGGGGGTAGTGGTAGAAGTTAAGGGTAGTGATGTCGGTGGTAGCGATGGTGCGAATAGAGTTGACAGTTCTGATAGTAATGGTAATAGCATTGGTAGGAATGGTTGTATGGGTTGTGAGTGTAGTCATGGAGTAATTGTAATGCTGATGATGGGAATGTGATGATGGAGGGATAATAGTCACTTTGGTACAAATTGTAGTGGTGGAGAGGTAATGGTGTTAGAGGTGATAATAATGGTGTTGGTGATGGTGGTGGTGGTAGTGATTAAAATTGGAGGGACAGTGATACTGTTGTTGGCAGTCATGGTCACAAGGCTATGAGTATGGTATTGGGGTGGTTGAAGGATTAGTGATGGTGGTGGGGGTGATGGTGTGGTTGGTAAGGCTGAGTGTGGTGATAATGATAGTAATAGTAATGGTGGTGATAGACTGACAGTTGTAGTGATGGAGTGATGAAGTTGGTGAATGGCAGTTTTAGTGGTGATGATGTGATGGTAGTGATATTGGAGGTAAAGCTGGTGTACAGTGCTGGTGATATGGGTGGGTTTGTGGCAGAAAACACTTTTTAATATCATATGTCACCTATTACTGCATGTCAGACCACTTTATGCATGTTAACTCATTGAGGTTAATTAAAACACTATGTGACAGATATAGCTATTATCTCCAACTTACAAGTGAATAAACTAAAGCACACAGAATGTGCTTATCTTTGTCCAAGGCTACATGGCTAACAGGGTGGTGAACCTGTATGTAATCTCATTCATTGTGCCTCTGGGTTCTGTGCTCTTAACCAGTCAACTAGACCAACTCTAGAAGGTAGTAAAAGCAGGTTTCTAGAATTCTTAGGGGAACTGTAGCGGGATGACTTCCACTTATCTCATGGTTCTACATATCCTCAGTATATCTAGGAATTAGAATTTGTTGATTGTGTACATTAGGAAACTGGAAAAATGTTATTACTTCATGGATAACTTCAGTCTGGCTTCGCTTCCAAGCATTAATATTTTCTGTCCATTTCCTAGATGATCGGTCGGCCTGTGATGGTGCCTTACTGGTCCCTGGGGTTCCAGCTGTGTCGCTATGGATATGAGAATGACTCTGAGATTGCCAGCCTGTACGATGACATGGTGGCTGCCCAGATCCCCTATGTATGTATATCAATGTCTTCTTTAGAAGCAGTTATTAATTCTTTTACTGCAGTGTTTTCTTCAGATTGGGTTTCCTCCCTATGTTTCTATAGTTGATTCTTTACTTCAGATGCTATAAGTTCAGAGAATTCCTTTTTTATTTCAGAAAAGAATTCCGCTCTGAGTTCCTCTATAACTTTCTGCTGTTGCTTATTTACTATCGATGCTATTAATTCATACATTTCAGCTGAGCTAGTGTCCTCTGCACTTGTTCTGGGTGGGCATTGGGTTTCCTGCATATGTTTCTGCATTTGATTCTTTACTGCAGATGCTATTAATCCAGGAATTTCTTTTTTCATTTCCAATCTGAATTCCTCTATACCTTTCTGCAGTTGTTTCTTTATTTCAGAAGCTGTTGATTCATTGATTTCAGCTGTGTGATTCCCAATTTGTTCTGTATTAGTGTCCTCTGCACTTGTAATGGGTTGGCTTGGGGTCTGAAATTGCATTTTGCTTCTTCTCATTGTCATTTTGTGTAGCACTGTCTTCTGACCTTTGTTGTAGAGCTTTGGTGCAGTTATAACCTTAGCACCTGCTGAAGTTCAGGTGCAGATCTACAAAGTTTGGATTTATCCTGTTGTTCCTGGCTTGGGTCTGGCTGCTGTGCTCAGCTCCTTCCTGCTGCTGCCCTTGGGAATGATCCTGTTGTGCCCCTCTGGCAAGATGTTCTGCTCCTGGATTAGCTGGGTGGCTTTGTCCCCTACTCTCCCTGCAGGGATTGCAGCTGCAGGGTTTCATTCCAGGCCTGTATGCCAAGTCTGAGCTGAGTCTGGAGGGGACAAGGTAGAGTAGGGGGGAGAGGAAGCACTCCCACACACTCATTAGGCCTGGGCTAGGGCTGGATCTGGGGGTCCCCGGAATGTGGCAGAAATTCTCACTCGGGTAGGGTGGGGGGGGTGCTGCAGAGTGGTGGTGGGGTCCCAAGGGTGTGGAAGAGGGTCTAACCCACACTGCGCCTGGGCTGGGACCAGCAGGTCCTGCCGGCGCAGTGTAGCTGGAAGTTCTCCCACACACTTACCGGGGCCTGGGCTAGGACTGGATCTGGGGGTCCCCAGAACACCTCCCCTATTGTATGTATAGGCTATGTGTTTTAGCTGTAAGATCTTGTAGCTAACTGAGATGTCTCTCTATCTGGATTTTGCTTTTGGAGTTGAAGTTCAACCAAGACACAAAGTGCTTTGTCATAGAAGAATTTCCCAGCATCCATATCAACCATTGCCAGTCTTGTGAAACCTTTTATCTGCGCCATTAGTATTGGATGGTTGCTCCCTTCTGGAACTGGATTGTACCCCCTCAGCTCCTCAGTTTCCCTGTGTCCTTTCCCAGGATGTGCAGTACTCAGACATTGACTACATGGAGCGGCAGCTGGACTTCACCCTCAGCCCCAAGTTCTCTGGGTTTCCAGCCCTGATCGATCGCATGAAGGCCGA